GACTGTGCTTGTAAATAATATGCTGTATTGTACATACTTTGTTGATGTAAGATTAGCTTGTTCCCTTGAGATGTTGCAAGGCTTTCGCAGTCTTTATTCCTATAATCTTCTATAAAACAACATAGAAGAGTTTTCAGCCTTCTGTGCTTGTGTCATTAGTGCATCAGAGTAAAAACACTATTATAGCCATGCAAATAAATTAACACTAAATGGTACCAAATAATGTTAGAGTGCATGCCATATATCCGTGGAAACCTTGGAAGAAATTGCACAAATTTGCATGAAGTACAGTAGACCTCAGTAATGACTGTACACCTACAAAAGTTTTGTCAGTTAACTTTTTCATGGATATATGGTATGCATTCTATCCCTATTTTCTATTGTCTAATTAGTGCTAATTAGTACTAAATAGTGTTCATATAAACCTATACATGTAAACTAACAATTGATATCTTTATTTTTCAGTCTTGCTCAGCATTTTCAAGTACCGCCAGATAAAGTTGATAGTTCATTCAATCCAACAAATGCAGTTTTAAATCTGTTGCCTACCAGAAAAGTTGGAGAACTCAAAAGTGCTTTAACCCACTTAGGAATGACAGCAAATATAGAATGCCTTATGAATGACCTGGGGAGGCAACCAGATACAACTGATTCTCCAGGATCTACTAATCCAGTGAATAATCTAGTAGAAAATACAAAGAATTTGTCAATTGGTATGTTCAAAGATTGATCTTAAAACTGCATGCAATTTTTCATATTTCTAAGTGAAGAATTAATTCTAGGCTTTCCTTCTTCATCACACTCACCATATTTTATTCCACCTTTACTCTCTTCTCAATAGTGCTGCCCTTTCCCATTTCCCACTTTTCTTGTTTCCTCTTCTTCTTTTCCAATCTCCCCTTCTTGCCACTCAGCACACTCCTCCATCAATTCATCAGTCAACACTCCCATTCATTCTTTATACTGTATTACCTTCCCTTCAATGTGCACTATTATTCCCTTCTCTTAACTCTACACTTCACAATCCCACCCATTTACTTCCCATTTCCCACTCCCTTCACTTGACTCAGCACTTCACACTCCCCCTCTTCACTTCACATTCTCCACTCCTTTTCACTAGGCACACATGTGGCTTCCACTTCCTTCTTTACTCTTGGACACTCATTACCCTTTTCTCCATCCTTCCATCCTATCCCTCCACTTCCCTTTTTTGACCTCCCCATTTCATATTCCACTTCCCTCTGAACTCAAACAACAAAATTAAGGACCAGACTATTTTAATATTAGATTTTTTATCATGCTCTCAAAAGCAGATAAATCCAAAACACCAAAAGAATCTAAAACACTAAAACCTGTGGAGACGTTTGGTGATTTAAGTGATGAAAACCAGGAAAGACTTCTTGCAGAAATTGAAGCAGAAGAGTTAGAATTAAAGTACAGTTTTGAAATCCCACCTCATGATCAATGGCAAAAATATAAAATTCGTGAACTGACAAAACTTTTGAGGAAAAATAAAATGAAGAAAACAATAGAATGGATGAAGGATAATCTGCCAAAAGGAGTAACAGGTTAGTAATTTGATAAAAAGAAGACTATTCATGGCAGCCTCATAGTCTGAATAGTCCCCTTCACAGTTCCCTGCCCCATCTTGAAAGGTAGCCGTGCCTTTGCATCGAAGCGAGACGAACGGTGAGCTTGCAATGATAGAGACGTGTGAATAATTGCCCAAGGTGTTAAAAAAGGCCCCTAACTTTGCATGCTCACTTTCGTCTTGATTCGATGCAAAGGCACGGCTACCTTTCAAGATTACGCAGGGAACTGTGAAGAGGACTATTTGCATGATCCCTTCACTTCAAATATGCAATGGTTGAACGCTGATTCAGTGAACTTCTAATATTTTAGAACTGTACCCTCCCTTATCTGTGGTTGGTTTTCTTGATTCCCTCCTTCCCCTCCTTGTCATTGTTCTAAAGGAAGATAGTTCATAGTACCAATCATATTAACATTACCTTTTATTCTTTAAGGACCTTATTTTGATGAGAACACTAATGTCAGGGACTTGCCCTATTCTGCTAGGAGTAAACTTACAGTTCAGCTTTGTGGTAAGTGCTTCATTCATTGGCATTACAGGGGGTACTGAGTGGTGTAGATGAGAGTGGCCAAGGATCGAGAAAAGATAATTGCCAGCTTTTTGTTTCCACATATTACACCCATTCTAATAACCACACCCAGAAAACTAGCAATCAAATGAAGAAAGGAAGGAAGGAAGGGATGGATGGATGGATGAATGAATGAATTAGAGACATTGCATTTTGGCTAATATCAAGTTTTAATTATAATTATAATAAGATCCTTTGTTTAAATCCACGTAAACTTATCCTTGCTTGAACACATAACAAGGATAAATGGACATGGCTGCCGCATGAAAAAGGCCAATGGTTTATGTTATTATTGATGACTGGCAAAAAACAGATGTCTTCGGAGTATGTTGGTTGTAAAAATAGAAAAATGGATGTCAAATGATTTTTTTTTCATTCTTTCAAAAGCCCATAATGAGAACTGGAAGATTCTTGCTAGCCATCTTGGGTTGAGTAATACCGAAATACAGTATTTTGATAGCCATCGGTTCAGAAACCCAGCAGATGAAGTCCTGAGGCAGTGGGAAACTAAAAGAAATACTAGTGTTGGAGAATTGTATGACATACTGGTGTTTTTAAATATGCCTGTAATTGCCGATTCAGTATTATGAATGCTGATAAAAAAAGGAAATGTGATAAGTTGAGGAAGATGGGTACCCTGTGGTGCTTGATGACCAAGGGAAGACTGGGGGGACTTGGCTGTTGGAAGGAAAAACAAAAATGGGAATAAAATAGTGGGAAGGGATGGGAGAATTAGTATTGAGTGGAAATATCATTTCTTTTTGCCCTTTATTTTCCTTCTCACAGAAAGCCAACCTTTCTGTCAGCTTCGTTATATAAAAAAATATGAATTGGATTTACTCCCAAGATCCCTTAGCCATCAAGCTTCACGTCATAAAATCCCAGATAGGAATATCCAAGATTTTGAAATGCAAGAAAACATGAAAGAGAATTTGAGAATAGAAATGATTGGAATTTTTTCTGTTGACAACTGGAATATTTCTATCAAATCACTTTTTGTATATCAAAAGTGTCTAAATTATGGGCTTTCTTTATAACATAGTTGCTGAAAGTGAGCTCTCAAAAATACGAGAGAAAATACTTTTTCATAAACAAATTTTCTAAAAAGTTCCAAACTTTTTTTTTGAATTTATTGCTTGTAGTTTTCATTGAATTTATTGCTTGTAGGGAAATAACCCTTTCTTTACCGCTTCAATAGTAACACGGCTTAGAAAAACTCTCAAAAAGGAGACTTGAATTTTTAATTAAGTTACGATTTTGTATGTTAACTGATATTTTAGTAGATTGAAAATGATCGTCTGCCTTAGGCCTTTAGACAAACGAAAAGCATTCTGGTCTAGTTTGGGTATCACCAAAATTCAGAGGACAGGTAGATAAAGGCGTATTGCTTCTCCTACTTGCGTGACACCGTGACGTCCCTTACAAAACTTACCATTGCAAGCGAGTTTGACTTTCGCAAAGTCTTTCGTCGCGGTTTGTTCACGCGCGCTGTATAAAGCACAGGCATCCCAACCAGGATCATACTCGCTGGACACTCACTTTTTTCCCCACTGGCTTCGCTTGCGACTCTGCGAGTCTCGGATAGATCAAAGTTTCTCTGTGTAAAGAACAGATTTCGCATGATTGTGAAACGTCACGACGCACGGCACGATGACGGTATAAAATTAACGACATCTTTGAGTCAATCACAACGCGCAACTGAATACTGCACAGCCAATGTAAACAATCTTACATGGTACCGTCACGGTCACGGCAACGCATGTTTTCACAGTCATACGAATTTTCTGGTGTTGTAAAGTAAATTGATATAATAAAGAGGTACGAAGAATAAAATGAGATTTTATTTATTTAGGATTTTCCCGTTTAAAGTGTACGAGTTAGCGGAGAAATGTTACGTTCATGCAATTATAAGGACGAAACTCTAGCAAACTATATGCCATTGTGTGTTTGGCGCTTTTACTTCTTTTTAGAATTGAAGTAACTTATTTTAATTCTGGAAGCAGAGGAACTTCCAAGGCAAGGAAGCCCATCGTATAGTTCGCTTGTGGCATGCTGTGTCGTGTGTGGCAGCGCAATAATGCGAGTATTCATGAATGGAAAGCAGCTTCTTCGCTCATACTATGATCTCATTCTTCAAGCGTAATGGTTCCTCATTTATCAAACTTTTTAGCAATTCATCCGAGGGCTTTTCCTTGAATATTTTCTCGCTTAGATTTCCTTTATTAATTTTAATGGCTTGGTCTACTGGTTGGTACTCTCCCAGCGCGTCGGTCTCGTAACAAGGTGCTTTAATATCTTCATCATTCAAGATTTCGATGAATTCAAACGGAGTTGCAATACATAAGAACACTGCGAAGAATTCCAAAACTTGGCTGACAGTAGCAACATCAGGAAATGGAGAGCCATTAACAGAGCGACCCCAAGATGCCATAACAGTTTGAACTGGGAATAAGTAGGCAGCGGCTCCTACGAACACTCCGGTAACAAGGTCAGTTAATATGCTCAAAAATCGCCGACACTTGGAACGATTTTTCCACCCAAAAGGGTAGATATGGACCTTGATGAATAAATTACCAATGATAGCGAAAGGTATGATATATTGGAGGATCAGCCTACTAGCTTCATAGAGTCGTCCTGATTCTGTGTACTGCCAGCCTTGGACGCAGTTTCCCGCGTCGAGATATGCCTGGGATACCATCCCGCACTGACAGAACTGTGGAGCGGTAAGAAGGCTAGCGATTGCCCATACCAAGACAGTGGTATTTTCAGCATCTCTCGAACTAACTTCATCATTGTGGATATTCTTGAAATAGTTATCCATAGCTACGGCAAGCAAGCCGAGGATCGATGCTGTGAGTGCAAAGTTTGCTATGGGTGGTAGAACGGTGCAGAGTGAAGACCCTAAGCTCCACTGTAGTCCTGTCACGCTTCGTAGCATGAAGTTAATTGGCAGATAAAGATGAACCACTAAAGCAAACACGTTGGAAAAAATACTTGTTCCTAGAAGGAGTTTGTGGCTTCCAAGTGTATTCCATTTTTTCTTGAGTAACCAAAAGGCCCATATGTTTGCCGAGAGTCCAAGCAAATGGAACAGCATCCAAACGACGTTAAGAATGTCTTTTGATGGTTTCACCCTTGTAAATGCATCGCAGAGAAGCATTATTTTGGAGATAAATATCCGTCGTCTTCTGAAGTACGGGTGTTTCTTGGAGAGTCTAGCGTTATTCAAGTAACTGTTTCAAAACAAGCAGATGATCCACCCTTGTTTATGTTTTAACAGGCGCGGTTCATGCTCTTCATTGATTGGTCCACTCGACACGACTGGTTATGACAGGTACCATACTAAACATACGTACGCCATAAACACGATTCACTTCAAAGTGGAAAATCTTCTTCTATATATACATTTAACAATTATAAACCGTTTCTTTTTTCTCTCCAATAGGTAATTTAGACGGTTTTTTGTCAACTTGGTATTTTAGATCGTTTAAATGTGACGTCATCATTTCGTAGTTAGAGATGTAAATTAGGTTTCATCAAGCTAATTTTTTTCGAGCGAAATCCGAGTTTCTAATAATAATACCACCATCATTTCGTAGCTAGAGATGTAAATTAGGTTTTTTACAATAACTTACAAATTTCTCGCGCGCTGATTGGTTATTTTTTATCATCAATAAAAGGACAGACAGATAAAGCTGACGTCAACGAGCGTGCGCTCTTTCCGTTGGTTGTTTTGATCACTAAAAATGAGAAGTTTTTATCGTTTTTGTTATTGTATAAAACAAATAGACATCAGTTTTTTGTGTCTGTCCTCTTATTGACAATACATTGCGTCATCACATTGTCAAAGTAGTGTGGATACGCATACTACTTTGACAATGTGATGGCGAAATTAAGAAGACAGACACATAAAAATCTGAAGTCAATTTGTTAATCATCAAGCCAATTTTTTTCGGAAGAAACCCGAGCTTCTAATAATAATACCCAATGCTTACTTGTAGTTTTTTTTTACATTTCCTTTACGAAAGATTTAAACTGTAACGTTTGTGCATAAATGGACCTAGAATTATGTCACAACTTACAAACTCTGTTTGATCTTTCGAGAATGAACAAAATATGGGTTCCCTGTGGTTATAGCCGTTTCTATCTTTCATCGGGTGTCTCCCTTTTTTCTGTATCTTATTTACCATCAGTGGGCTGCCTCTGTCTATCCTAATTTGGCAGAATCGCTTTCGTTCTATCGCAGAAAAGAAAATTTTGACTGCGTAACTTGTTTATTGTTTTTTTTTATTCAGAATTGTGATTACATAGGTGCAATTATAAATGCTTCAAAAAAGTGCAGTACATGCAACCAAAATGAAGGTTGTGTGTTTTGTGCTTTTCTTATGTGCTGTTCTGGTCAGACGAGACGAGCATCAATGCAAAGTCAGTCCTACACAATGGGTTTGCCTTGGTTGTCAGTCTTGAGCTCACAGTGATCATACAGGAATGCGCAATGACCAATCTTGGCAGCTTCCTCGGTGTTGGCTTTGTACACACACTAAAATGACAAACAAAAACAGAGCGATAGCCGTTAAATTAAATCCATTATAGTCCATTTCTATTCATAATCAGATTAAAAACAAATGAAATCAATGACAATGGTTGCTACTAACGACTAGACTAAGATTAATTTCGCGAGTTAAATTGTACGAAACAACCTTTGGGCTGATCAAAGTCAGGGCACTGCTAACCCACAGTTCGAACCCTGGGGCTAATTCAAGTCAGGGATCTTGGGCCAAAAAAAGTCATTTTTAACTTGAGTGATATTTGTTTTATGAATGACTGATCAATGAGAAAAGGACTTACTTCAAGAGCCTTGGTGTAGTTTTTCTTGGACTTGCACTGGTCTCTCATTTCGCCTAGCTTAGCTTTGAACTCTTCGACGTTCTTCACATTCTTGAATGGACATCCGTCCTTGAAGGATGGGCATCCTTTGCCGAGGCCTTTAAGGTCAGGGACGTTGTAGGGACATCTTTTACCCTTCTCAAAGGCTGGGCAGTGACCCTTGACGTAATCCATTGTAATCTCACCAGGAATCTTAGAACAAAACACTCCATTAGTTAGATTGATAGCTAGAGTGCGAACAATTAATCCATTAGACAGTATTTACTAAATAGTACAAAATAGTTCTAATTAATCGATAGAAAACAATGGAATTTGCATGAAATTGTGCTATTTAGTATTACTAAAGTTTCACGGTTATATTGTTTGCACCCTACCACTTTTTATGGTATAATTAATAGAGATAAGAGGTGAATAGACCGTTTTCTCAAGATTGCGTGCGCATCCAAATTTAAGGAACTTGACGGGCCAAGATACCAGAACACGAACTTTATGATGAGTATCATATTATCATATCGATAAGAATAACTAAAATCGATTATATTCTCCTCTTTAAATATGAAACTGGCTTCTCTATTTTATTGAATTTGCGTTTTTCAGTTTTGTCCCCTGTGATTGGTAAGGTTTAGGGGCGTGGTTGGGGAAAAAGTCATTGTTTTCTATTGTTCTATACATGTGTACCCTCCAATAGGATCACATCTTGCAAATTCCGCCTGAAGGACGTAAGTTGGATGCGCACACAACCTTGAGAAAATGGGCTATTGGCACTTACAATGAATCTGCCATTCAGGTCCGACTTCAAGCAGCAGCCACTTTTAAAGAAGGGGCAGTGACCATATTTAGCAACGGCTTCCCCACCTGCTCCATAAGTAAGCTATTTAAAAACAAAAACATATCTCGGTCATTGCATCTTTTGATGTTCTTCAAGAGTATTGCAGATTAGAGTTTTAGCGGTTGAAGGAGAGGGGATGGTGCGTTAACACTGTGCACAGTCACCTTTCACTGCACACAAGACAATTGCCTTAAAATATCTAATAATCCATCTATCACACCACACCACGTACGTAAATTACAGCTCTGCCTCAAGGGCCTCATTAGCGGTTAGTTTAAGCCAGAGTTAATGCTTTATCTGTCCAATCCACTTAGTTTTGGTCACCATTCTCATAGTTTCTATGAAACCATCGACTTTCACAAGCAAGCTACAGTTATCCTTTAATGTAGTTAGACCCCCACTAAACTGAAGCATACTGCTAGTATAAGCCAGAGCATTTCAAATAGAAATCGTAGAATGATAAGTTATACACCGTAGTGAAAATAGTAACTGACGTTTCGGACGTTAGTCCTTCGTCGGAGTTTGACTCCGACGAAGGACTAACGTCCGAAACGTCAGTTACTATTTTCACTACGGTGTATAACTTATCATTCTACGATAACTGTTTTATTAGAAACACCGACGCAGTCCACGCTAGTGTTTACTAGCCATCATCTACAATTCAAATAGAACATGCTTTTCAAAAGTTACACTGATCATAACCGACTTTAGACGCGAGATTAATTCTCATCAACGTTGCTTTCAAACATCTAAAGTAAAAACCCATTACTTACATCCATAGCCTTGGTATAGTTCTCTTTACCCTTGCAGTGATCTCTCATCTCGCCCATTTTGGCTTTGAACTCTCCCACATTCTTGACGTTCTTGAATGGGCATCCATTCTTGAATTCTGGGCAACCTTTGCCAAGTCCTTTCAGCTCTGGAACATTGTAAGGGCAGGCCTTGCCTTTGTTGAARACAGGACAGTGGGCTTCTATGTATTCCATAGTGTAAAGCTCAGGAACCTTTGGGACAAGCATCAAAATTATTTGTTAGAATCTGCGATATATATATATATGCATGGTTACTAAACGTGTTTGCAGTCGATCAATACTTACAATGGGTTTTCCTTCGCGATCATTCTTGAGTGGGCAGCCAAATTTAAAGAATGGGCAGTGGCCAAGCTTTGCGGTTTGTTGACCGTTGACAGACTGGATGATCTTAAAAAAAGTGCCGTGAAATATGTAGGTTATAGCACTCAGTAGAGAGAGAATTTTTATCGCGTTCATTTTCTTGCTTAGCTAATGTAAATTAGTTCAAATAAAATTGCATTCCACTTGTAGAAATTTCAGAAATTCTTCTTCAAATACAATTTAACTTTGGCTCCGTATTTTCGTTTCATATTTCCCATCATTATATATAAATTTCCAGGTAGACCTTTCACTTTTAACGGTTTTAAAAATCCTGGATAAGAATACTTGTAAAAGCTTATGATTTTACCTTCAATGCTTTGTCATAATTGGTCTTGCCCTTGCATAGATCCCTCATCTCTCCCAGCTTCCCTTCAAACTCGCCAATATTTCTGACTCCTTTGAAAGGACACCCATCTTTGAAGGCGGGGCAGCTTTTTCCAAGTCCTTTGAGCTCGGCCACGTTGTAAGGGCAGAACTTTCCTTTTTGGAAGGCTGGACAATGCTCCTTGATGTAGTCCATCGTAAATAACTCTGGAACCTGTTTGGAATTGAAAGGAAAAGTCAACTTCAAAAACGTTTCAAAGCGTTTGCCTTTCACCAAATGCAAGTTGTGTTCAATTCCCGGACTCCGTTTACTTCGTACGAGTCGGTTCTTTCCTGCCGTTCAAGCCGGGCTTTTTCTGGTTTTCCTCCCTTTTCTTCTAAGATTCCAATTCGATCATTGAACAAGGGGCACAGGTTTGTTAGCTACTGGCTATCAAGTGCTACTCTCGCACAAATAAAGACTATGCATTTAGTTGCCTGGGTCCTGTACGTTGAGAGTGACCTTTGGGGAATGTGCCTGTAATCTGTACGTATAGTCTCTCGGGTTTATTAAGTTCCACAAGAGTAGAAAATACACCAATTCTGCTGTGCCAGTTGTAAAAAGATATACTTACAATTGGTTTACCACTGGGATCGGTCTTGAACATACATCCATACTTAAAGAAAGGACAGTGTCCAAACTTCGCCACTTGCACACCATTGGCGCCTGCAATCATCTGAAAGCCAACAAGAGCAGATTTAAAGTATATATGTGTAACATCATAGATAGTGTAAACCCTCAGAGTGTTGCAATTTCTTTTGGTATTTGAAAGTCGTAAAACTGATCCATTGTAAAATGAGACGTTAACCTATACTTACATCAAGAGCCTTGTCGTAGTTTTCCCTGCCTTTGCATTGATCTCTCATCTCGCCAAGTTTTGCTTTAAATTCCCCAATGGTCTTAACATTCTTAATTAAAAGGACAGCCATTCTTGAACTCGGGGCAGCCTTTCCCCAGCCCTTTCAAGCAAGGAAGGTTGTATGGGCAGTAACGACCATTCTGGAAAACAGGACACTTGCTCTTGATGGTGTCCATGTCGACAAAATCAGTGGTCTAAAGACGATACAAAGTTTATTCAATAGTACAGAAACTAGAGAAAAGAGAGCTGGATTCGCGAAGTGTTATAAGGCGGTACTTACGATGGGCTGGCCCTTGAGGTCTTCACTGACTTGACATCCATACTGGTGGAAAGGACAGTGGCCCAGCTTGGCTACTTGTTCAAGATTTGCTTTGTTTATAAGCTAGAAAGAGGAAAAGCAGAGAGGTTAAATGGACCTCATTAAGTGGAAATAATATTAATATTCAGCATCAACAATATCTTTACAGATATCACCGCATCACTTTTACAACAGCAGCACCAATAACCAAATCATAATCAGGAAAGCAAGGTGATACGATTTTGTGAGAGAGTCATAAAAAATGGAATTGAAAATATGAGTACCTCAAAGGCCTTATCGTAATTTTCCTTTCGATTGCATTTGTCTCTCATCTCTCCTAGCTTTTGCCTAAACTCTCCCACATCCTTAACTCCTTTGAAAGGGCATCCATCCTTGAACGAGGGACAGCCTTTGCCGAGTCCTTTCAGCTCTGGAACATTGTAAGGGCAGGCCTTGCCCTTATTGAAGACTGGGCACTTGTCTTTGATGGTATCCATGGTAACATAGACCGAGTCCTAAAGGAAACAACCAATCACTTCAAATATGGCAAGTGCTTTGCAAAAATAAATCGCTTATTTTAGGCCCCGTCCACACGTATCCGGAAATATTTGTATCCGCAAATTATTTTTTGCGGAACGAAAATGTTTGCGTCCCACGCAGCGTATTCGAATCGTTTTCACCGTCCACACGTATCCGTGTTCGTAAAATTTGCGGATACAGACACAAAAATTTCCGGACGCGTGTGGACGCAACCCGTGTCCGTAAAAAAACATTTCCGGACACAAAAATTTGCGGATACGTGTGGACGGGGCCTTAGTTTATCATGTGTTAGAACGATGTTATTGCTCGACGTTCTTAAAAAATTAATAAAGTCCACAGTAATACAGAATTTGTATTAGTAGAATTTGATTATATTTTCTGTTGATCTGTGAACAAGCCATGAATATGTAAATAGGCAATGTATAGATGGCTGCACACTTACAATAGCGGTTTGAGGCGCAAAAACTGGCTTGCCATCTTTCTTGGTGTTGAAAGGCCAAGTTTGCTTGGCAGGACACGTTTTCCCCAACTTCTTTTCCTCACTGTAGCCGAGAGCAACAGCTTCTTGTATGGCGTGGGCCATAATTTTTTTGCCAGCTTCGTTTTGAGGAACCAGAGATGCGAGAACGTCGGTCACTTCCCCAAGAGTCTTGCACTGACCTGGCTTGACAATGCAACCATGGTCGAACACTGGAGACTTGGCCAGTYCTGGTTTTAGTCCAGTGTATGGACACTGGCTGTTCTTGAAAACGGGGCATTTCGCCTTCACGTCTGCTATGGTAGTTTGCTAGTAAAAATACAAAACAAATTAACAGCATTTCAGAGCGGTTCTACGAGTGACGTAGCTGCGAAAATGAAGTTCAAAGTTCATTTTTTTTAGTGTTCCATTCCAACTTTGACCATCCGTTAGCTTTCCTTCGAGTATTTGTTTTGTTTCAGTAAGACAAAAATATATAATTACAATACGTAAGAATATTGTTCAGTGGCTTTGTAGGTATTAAAATGGAGGTTTTCAGCAAAAAATATGGCGTGGTCGTATTTTAGAGGTAAAAACTGACAATAATAAATAAAATCTTCCATACCCCCGAATTATAGAATAAACGAAGTAAAACAATACAGTACATGCGCTCAAATGTATCGATAGATTCGTAGACTTTTTTTGAATTTGTTAATTAAACAAGTTTTCTATCATGATTGCGTTTGTGTTTTGATTACATAATCACATGCTTTATACACTTAAAATCATCTTGGGACGTACATGAAAAAGCTAGCGGACTACACGGGACTAAACGCCCGACTAAACGGGTAAGATGGGGGCAAAGAATTAACCACCAGCAAAGCAACGTCTTTATACTTATCAAACGTGGTCAGTAAAAAGGGTTAGCAAATGGGACCGTCGTTACGAAAGTAGCAAATGCATACGTAGTTCGTAATGTTTCATTATAAAGTCAGCTTCTCCGAATTTTGTCAAACTATACGAAATACATGTAGGAAATGTTTATGAATCTACTCTAAAATAAATTATAAGTTGAGACAAGAATAACTGAAGTACTTACCCTGGACATGATTCAAACCTTCAACGTTGAACAAACTCTGTCATTGCAACTGGTTTTTGGTTCTGTTTGGCCAGGCTTTTATGGTTTTTCTACCCAGATGATACAAATTCCTGAATTAGTAAACACCCAGTGTGATTGGATAGAAAAGTGTGTCATGTGGTCTTGTACGTGACAACGCGTGAAAGATTTCATTCACACTAGATCGTTTTCACGTGACGTCACAGCGGCCATTGATGAGGTACCAAAACAATTCTTGGTTTTCATGTGACGTCATACACCTATCAAATGTTATCGTCCGCCATGTTGGTGTCGCACGAGCTAATTAGCATATGTCATATAACAGAGAGATGCATGTGTTTTGAAGCGGAGAATATAAATGTCGCGTGATTTTATTGAAAATACAGAAGATAAAAGTCACGCAGAACCANCCCCCCCCCCCCCCAGCTCCTAGGTCCTCGCTACGCCCCTGCGCCTTACACTTGAAAGCTTGTATGCAAACTTAGAATAAAAACCGATTAACAGAAGTCAACAATTACCGGCAACTTACAAAAGACTCATTTACTACCTCAAACAAAAGACTGTGACTTGTGATAACACCCACGCATCTTTACATAACAATACCGACTAATTACCGTTTACATTATGAACCGAACCAGAGGTAGTGGCGTAACCAGGGATCTTGCTGGGGAGGTGCACAGGCACAGATTTGCAGAACCAAAAAAAAAAGGTAACCAAAAAAGCAGAACCAAAATGTGGGTGGTTCTTAAATATCCTACAGTATGCAGCTGCAATGTGGTCTTAATTTAATCAAGAGACACTGATTTACATGCAATTTTAAAGCAAAAGGAGATAATATTAATGAGCGGACCTTAAGCTTTAATTTATGGGGGTGCACGTGCACCCTGTGCTCCCCGTGGTTACGACCATGAGAGGAATAAATACCATACACTGTCTCTCGTTTTCTCAATGGACTCTGAAGATGACTTCTGCTCGATCAAGTCGTCGAAACGTCAGTCACCACCAACAAGACTTTCAATCCAATTATCCGTTCGTACGATTCGTAATCACAAGTCAAAATCATAATCAAATCCTMTATGAATTGCCGTTATCAAAAGTCAATGGATCGTAATAAACCACGCTCGAAAATCAAGTCAAAATCTTAATCAAATCCTATATGAATTGCCGTTATCAAAAGTCAATGGATCGTAATAAACTACGCTCGAAAATCAAGTCACAGGGCCGTAACCAGAACTTTTACAGGGAGGGTGCACATCGAATAAAATCGGACCATTGATCGTTTCTTTTAAGAAAGCAGAACCAAAAGAAAAAAAAAGGGAGATGGATGAGCGGACTTTAAGCTTTTATGGGGGGGTTGCACGTGCACCCTGTGCTCCCCCCCAGTTACGGCCCTGAATCAAAATCATAATCAAATCCTATATGAATTGAAGTTATGCCGTCAATGGATCGTAATAAACCACGCTCGAAAATCAAGTCACAGGGCTGTAACCAGAACTTTTACAGGGAGGGTGCACATCGAATAAAATCGGACCATTGATCGTTTCTTTTAAGAAAGCAGAACCAAAAGAAAAAAAAAGGAGATGGATGAGCGGACTTTAAGCTTTTATGGGGGGGTTGCACGTGCACCCTGTGCTCCCCCCCAGTTACGGCCCTGAATCAAAATCATAATCAAATCCTATATGAATTGAAGTTATGCCGTCAATGGATCGTAATAAACCACGCTCGAAAATCAAGTCAAAATCATAATCAATAAGCCTTTTCACAGTTTAAGAATCGATTCCACTGCGCATGCGATTTTATCCCAAATTTCTACCTTCTTTTGTCTAAACCTTCTTTTGTTCTTAATTAAACAAAAGAAGGTGAGAAATTCGGGATAAAATCGCATGCGCAGTGGAATCGATTGTTAAACTATGAAAAGGCTTATTCGGTCGGTAAGACCCACCGATCCGCCGTTGCTTGGATATACACACCTCTGTTTTGAAGTCGGGAGAAAAAATTATACCTATCCTGAGCTTCATCGACAAGATCCCAGTCATATAAAGCCTCAATTTTGATTGTCACTGACCTCAACTGAGTCTGCGTGTAAATACAGGTCGCGTCTAGGCTTTTAAAAGGCATCCCACATGGAAAGACATGGTCATGAAGGCTAAGTCATCAGCAACATAAGTCTGAATTTTGGGTCTGCTGGTCATAGCAAGGGGTTAATCATCTACGGTCTAGGGGCCGACTAACCTCTCCCTTAGGCTTCGGCCGAGCTTCCTGATCAGTCTGTAAATCCAGGGATAGCGGTGTCGGGGTCGAAATCTCCGGCCTAGCCGTAAATGCTTCGCGCTGCCATACGACGGTTCAGCATTCGATGTCTGGAAGTATGGTCCTAAATTTACGAATAATAAAACTAACTAGTTTTTTTATCGGGTAAATTTGGATGAAGAAAGGTGGTCCTAAGTGCGCAAGCGAATCAAGCGAGGGCCATACCGTAAGTTATGTACCAAGGGCGGATCCAGGGGGAGGGTCGGGGGGGTCGCGACCCCCCTGTCATTCCTGAGGTCAAATGGGCTTCCTGTGGTAAAAATGCGACTGGGATTCCTTTGCCCACAAAATTTACCCATGAGACCCCCCTTCAAAAAAACCCTGGATCCGCCCTTGTGTACCGAGTTTTTCCCTCACTGCCTTATGGCCCAAGCGCGTTGCGAAACGAAACGAAAAGGAAAGGAAAGGAAAAGAAAAGAGAATGGCTGGGAAAAACTTATAATCAGCAAAAAAAATTACTTCCATCTACAACAATGAATTCTTTAATGACTAGTAAAATATATCAGAAAAACTTTTTGTCAAGGTTTATTAATATTTATTTTTTTATTCATAAACAAAATATTTATCACAATGTCTATTATGATGGTTATCATTCAATGTCTTCTGGTCTAACAGGGTCCTTTAGCGGTATCACTGACTTTTTGTCTCTGTCTCTTGAAAGAGCTTTCCTCATATCTGTGGAACACAAAAGCCAAGTCTTAATAAATACATATACACCGTTACCTATTTAAAAAGACGCTGTCGGTCAGAGATCTGAAACAGGCGATATGAGACTAAAAGGAATTTTTGAGCTGTTATGTTTTATGGCTCAAATATGCGAAAAATCACATTTCTAACTCAAAGCTTGTGCTTTACATCCCAATATTAAAATGAAACTACGTTGGTCGCAGGGCCGTAACCAGGGGGGAGCACATAAAAGCTTAAGGTCCGCTCATCTATCTCCTTTCGCTTTAAAACTGCGTGTAAATGTTTTTTGATTAAATGAAGACCACTTGTCATCTGCATATTGTAGCATTTTTAAGAATCACTCACCCATTATTCCTATTTTTTCTTGCTTTTTATTTTTTGGGTCTTCTATTTTTGTTGGTTTTTGGTTAGATAAATTTATTGGATGGCAGGATTTATCCATCAGATAGAGCTATCCACCCTTCGTACAACTGTGCCCTGTTGTTCACAACACAAGTGAATTAATCTTACCATAAGCATTCTCATCTGGGTCCCCTGAGTAGTAGTCCAGTACGGTACGGTATACAATGTAACCTAACTTTTTGTACATATCTACTGCTACATGGTTAGACACTCGAACAAAAAGATCCACAAAGAAGGCTTCTTTCCTGAAATAATATGTATAGTTAATTAAGTGTATAGCCCTTTTACAAAGACGATGCWTTGTGACATTGATGAACAAAATAATGATGTTTGTACCCAAGCTAGACCACAATGCATCATGTTCAATATCTCAGAGAACTGAGGTTCGTTRTTAATGAATGGAAATAAATTAAGTGAAAGAGAGAAAGAAGAGAAAATATAGACAGAGGGATGAACAGAATACGAGAAAATAAGGAAGGAAGGGAGGGAGGGAGGGAGGGAGGAATGGAAGGAAGGAAGGAAGGAAGGAAGGAAGGAAGGAAGGAAGGCAAGCAAGCAAGAACAGAAAGAACTGGAAGATATCTGTGTCCTCTTCTTCCCACCAACTAGATGCAAATGGGAAGATAATATGAATGGGACATTCTCCCAATTAAAACCTATTAATCATGCCACTTCCATCTCATTTCAGACTTACTTTTCAGATATGTTTTCCAGGCTTGACATCAATTTTGCTGCTATCCCTAGTCTTCTTGATTCTGGTTCAACACTGAGTGCAGTCACATGACCATGCCATTGGTCTTTAGAGCTGTCGCCTTCTGCTTTACCCATGACTGTATAAGAGAATATAGTTAAGGAATCAGATATACGCATGCTCCACTTATTCTGACTTCTGGTATGAATTCAAACCGTTATTTTTCTTCAAAAGAAAAACAATCAAGCTTATTTATTCATTGTTTATGGAACAGTTTATTTGTCTTTGATTAACATTCTGAAAAAATTAGCAATTTAGTGAGACCCTCACATGTGTGGTAAAGTATTTAAATTTTTATTACATCCATTTTGAAATCACAAGCAAATCCTGCAATCTGATTGGTTCCCTACAGCAGTGATTTCAGCATTTATTACATCCATTTTGAAATCACAAGCAAATCCTGCAATCTGATTGGTTCCCTGCAGCAGTGATTTCAGCATAAATTGCACGATTTTGAGCTCTAAATTGCACGATTTTGCACATCAACTGATATGAACCAATCACAAGAGAGACATGTCATTTTCTAGCCAATTATGTCAAGGAATCCATCTTAGTGTTGAGCTCACCGCTTCTTGCGAAAAAAAAGAGCCACGGCTCAAATAATTTTTTCTGAAGAACGATTTTACCGTCAAAAGTCTTAAAAAAAGAATTAAAAAGCCGTAAAAAGGACTTAAAAAGACCAACTGATCACTTAAAATCGTCAAAAGCATCTTCGTAAAGTAACTGCTTAAGTAAGTTGAAGATATTACAGCGAAAAGCAGTGGG